ACTCAAAAATAGTATCTGCATTCATAATATGAGTAGCTTTCCGATATTTTCCATTAATATAAAACCCTGGATTCTCGCGTTTTCTACCCAGAGAGGCATAGCTACTACGGAAGAGTATGTAGGGTTGCCGTCTGTCAGGGGTGTGTATTGGAACATAATAGGTTCAGTGACGTGTTCCACTAACCCTGACGTCAAGGGGAGCACGGTTGGACACGTGATTGATTATGCCGGCCCTGTCTGTCAAATGCAAAGATGGAATTCCGCGCTCTTGTTGAAACCGGCTCGGCTACCGGAAAAATTAAAGGTTTTTTTTTACCAACTTATAAGCGGGAATTTTATTAAGAATCTTTTCATTTCAATTGAACAGGTTTTACCAATCATACTTAACTTGTACTGAGATGCTGAAAACATGGAAGAAAATATTTACCAAGAGACATCGATTAAATCAAACCTTAATTTCATGGTCCTTCGAGCCGTATGAGGAACAACTCTACAGCGCCAGAAGAATTAAAGAAACAAGCTAATAGTAAGTATATGAGACACATTTTCTCTCGCACCTTTAAGACGAGACGAAAGAAAGCATTGTTTCGGTAGAGTGGCATTACTGATCAAGATTTTTGCATCCTTTGGTACGACACAGCTCTCTATTTTTAGGGTGCTGAAGTAATGTAGCAGCTACTGCAGAAGGAATAACCTGAATTAAAAAATTATGATTTTTGTATTTTTTCTTAAAACGTAGTCTGGTATGGAGCAATGAAGAAGTCTTAGAAATTGCGACAAGGCAGAGAGCATTTTCTCGTCTCGTCTTGAGGTGCGAGAGCAAATGGCCGGTAGAGTGGCATCACTGATCAAGATCTTTGCGTCCTTTGATACGGGACACCTCTCTATTTTCAGGGAGTTGAAGTTAGTGTAGCAGCTACCTGCTGCAGAAGAAGAATCTGAATTTAAAAATGATGATTTTTGTATTTTTTCTTAAAACGTAGTCCGGAATGAAGCAATGAAGAAGTCTTAGGAATTGCGACGAGAAAGAGAGCATTTTCTTGTCTCGTCTCCAGGTGCGAGAGAAAATGTCCGGTAGAGTGGCATCACTGATCAAGATCTTTGCGTCCTTTGGTACGACACAGCTCTCTATTTTTAGGGAGCTGAAGTATTCGTAGCAGCTACTGCAGAATGAAAAACTTGAATTAAAAAATGATGATTTTTGTGTTTTTTCTTAAAACGTAGTCCGGTATGAAGCAATGAAGAAGTCTTAGGACTTGCGACGAGAGAGAGAGCATTTTCTAGTCTCGTCTCGAGGTGCGAGAGCAAATGGCCGGTAGAGTGGCATCACTGATCAAGATCTTTGCGTCCTTTGGTACGGGACACCTCTCTATTTTCAGGGAGTTGAAGTTAGTGTAGCAGCTACCTGCTGCAGAAGCAAGAATCTGAATTTAAAAATGATGATTTTTGTGTTTTTTCTTAAAACGTAGTCCGGTATGAAGCAATGAAAAAGTATTAGGAATTGCGATGAGATAGAGAGCATTTTCTCGTCTCGTCTCGAGGTGCGAGAGAAAATGTCCGGTAGAGTGGCATCACTGATCAAGAGCTTTGCGCTCTTTGGTACGAGACAGCTCTCTATTTTTAGGGAGCTGAAGTATTCGTAGCAGCTACTGCAGAATGAAGAACTTCAATTAAAAAATGATGCTTTTTGTGTTTTTTCTTAAAACGTACTCCGGTATGAAATAATGAAGAAGTCTTAGGAATTGCGACGAGAGAGAGAAAATTTTCTCGTCTCGTATCGAGGTGCGAGAGAAAATGTCCGGTAGAGTGACATCACTGCACAAGATCTTTGCGTCCTTTGGTACGAGACAGCTCTATATTTTTAGGGAGTTGAAGTAATCGTAGCAGCTGCTACAGAAGAAAAAAACTGAATTTGAAAATAATGATTTTTGTGTTTCTTCTTTAAACGTAGTCCGGCATGAAGCAACATAGAAGTCTTAGGAAATGCGACGAGAGAGGGAGAGAATTTTCTCGTCTCGTATCGAGGTGCGAGAGAAAATGTCTGGTAGAGTGGCATCAGTGATCAAGATCTTTGCGTCCTTTGGTACGACACAGCTCTCTATTTCTATATAGGGAGTTGAAGTAATCGTAACAGTTACCTACTGCAGAAGAAAGAACCTGCATTTGATTTTTGTGTTTCTTCTTGAAACGTAGTTCGCTATGAAACAATAGAGAAGTCTTAGGAATTGCGACGAGAGAGTGGAAGAGCATTTTCTCGTTTCGTCTCGAGATGCGAGAGAAAATGTCTGGTAGAGTGGCATCACTGATTAAGATGTTTATGTCCTTTGGTACGATATAGCTCTCTATTTTTAGGGAGTTAAAGTAATCATAGCAGCTACTACAGAAGAAAGAAACTGAATTTAAAAATGATGATTTTTGTGTATCTTCTTGAAATGTAGTCCGGCATGAAGCAATATAGTAGTCTTAGGAATTGCGACGAAAGAGAGAATTTTCTCATCTCGTCTCGAGGAGCGAGAGAAAATGTCCGGTAGAGTGGCATCACTGATCAAGATCTTTGCGTCCTTTGGTACGAGACAGCTCTCTATTATTAGGGAGTTGAAGTAATCGTAGCAGCTACTACAGAAGAAAGAAACTGAATTTGAAAATGATGATTTTTGTGTATCTTCTTGAAATGTAGTCCGGCATGAAGCAATATTGAAATCTTAGGAATTGCGACGAGAGAGAGAATTTTCTCGTCTCGTATCGAAATGCGAGAGAAAATTTCCGGTAGAGTGGCATCACTTATCAAGATCTTTGCGCCCTTTGGTACGAGACAGCTCTCTATTTTTAGGGAGTTGAAGCAGTCGTAGTAGCTACTACAGAAGAAAGAAACTAATTTAAAAATGATGATATTTGTGTTTCTTCTTGAAACCTAGTCCAGTATGTAGCAATGAAGAAGTCTTAGGAATTGCGACGAGAGAGAGAGCATTTTCTCGTCTCGTCTCGAAGTGCGAGAGAAAATGTCCGGTAGAGTAGCATCACTGATCAAGATCTTTGCGTCCTTTGGTACGAGACAGCTCTCTATTTTTAGGGAGTTGAAGTAATCGTAGCAGCTACCTACTGCAAAAGAAAGAACCTGAATTTAAAAATTATGATTTTTGTGTTTCTTCTTGAAACGTAGTCCGGTATGATGCAATGAAGAATTCCTAGGAATTGTGACGAGAGAGAGAAAGAGTGGCATCACTGATCAAGATCTTTGCGTCCTTTGGTACGGGACACCTCTCTATTTTCAGGGAGTTGAAGTTAGCGTAGCAGCTATACCTGCTGCAGAAGAAAGAATTTGAATTTAAAAATGATGATTTTAGTTGATTTGGTATTAGTTCCCTATTTTTAGGGAGTTGAAGTAATCGTAGCAGCTACCTACTGCAGAAGAAAGAACCTGAATTTATGAATTTATGATTTTTGTATTTCCTCTGGAAACGTAGTCGGGTATGAAGCAATATAGAAGTCTTAGGAATTGCGACGAGAGAGAGAATTTTCTCGTCTCGTATCGAGGTGCGAGAGAAAATGTCCGGTAGAGTGGTATCACTGACCAAGATCTTTGCGTCTTTTGGTACGAGACAGCTCTCTATTTTTAGGGAGTTGAAGTAATCGTATCAGCTACCTACTGCAGAAGAACGAACCTGAATTTAAAAATTATGATTTTTGTGTTACTTCTTGAAACGTGATAAGGGATGAAGCAATATAGAAGTCTTAGGAATTGCGACGAAAGGGAGCATTTTCTCGTCTCGTCTCGAGGAGCGAGACAAAATGTCCGGTAGAGTCGCACCACTGATCAAGATTTTAGCGTCCTTTGGTACGTCCCTATTTTTAGAGAGTTGATCTACCTTACTGTAGCAGCAGTGCAAGGAAAAACCTGAATTTAACGAAAATGATTATTTTTGTGTTTCTTCTTGAAACGTGGTAGGTAGAAGGCATGAAGCAATAATTATGGAAGTTTTAGGCATTGCTTATGGACTCTTTTTCAGAAATAATTCTCGTTTGAGATATCCAGATATTTATCTTAGGAACGAACTTGGGAAATCACGATGAGCCTCATTTTAGATCATGGTACTTTTTCTGTATGTACAAAGAAGTACAACAAAGTACATACAAAATGAAATGAAAGGTTTAAAATTAGCAATTTTCAAACTACCTGTGTCAAAGTCAGTACCAGCCTAATCATTTATTAGATTTTTTTTTTCCGGTTTTCCAAAAAATAGTCTAAGACAAACTTCTTAAAAGAACTACCTGCGATATTTGCTTGGAAACGCTCGCCACCCCCTAAAACGCATGTTATCGACTTTATTTATAGCCTCGTAAAATTAGCAACTTCTTCCTTTTGTAGATATCTTGTCGAGTCAGCATTATCCATCATAATCTTGTCATAACATTTTGTTCGGGCTCAGTGTGAGGGAGGGCCCTACTGAATTAGGTAAAGGGTATAATGTGTTTGAGAATATGTTGACAAATATTTTGAGAAATGTTGACTTTTATGGATATTTTAAGGGTTAGTTAATTGATAAATTTATCATTTGTATAATAATTCTTTAGTATATTATATTTTCTGGGACAAATACATACTTTAATATTTATAAAAATTAATATACATAATAATCTAAGTATATAGGTAAATAAATTTTCATAAAATTCTAAGAATAAAAATATTTACTCTAATTTATATATCTTTGATAAGTAGTCTTGTAAGTTCTCCATACAAATTCTATATATAGAATCCACATTATTTCTACAATTGTTGTAATATTTGGATATGTTTATACATAATCTATTTATATTCATTATTTACATAATTGAGTTAATTTCAATATTATAAGTAGCAAATTGATAAAGCTAAAAACAAAATTCCGAACACGTAATTACAAAACATTTACACTTCGCCGACTTTTGATTATTGCTCCTTATATTGGGCTCGTCTCGGTCCCCATAATGTATTTCTATACAGTTTCTACCCCTCTTGTCTTTTAGGGTGAAACAGGCGGACCCGGTATATTCTTAATTTGCGTTAAAGGTCGAGCTAGGTCGGCCGTCTCAAACGGGTTCGGCGGTTGTTGGATCATACTTGAATGATCTACTAGAAAATGAAACAATAATTATTATTTTTGAGTAAAATGTGTATATGTATATTATATACCTGTATATGATTCTTCATTAGGATTCGGAGTATCCATATAAAAGTCCTTGAAATTTTGGCTTGCTGGAAAACTAGCTTTTTGGTTCATATTTATGTCTTCTCCTGGTACGGGAAATTCATAGTTGAGGCCGAACTTACTGTCTTTTTTTGCTTTCATTCGTCTATAGGAAAATTATACAGATTTTTGTGTATGGAGACCGTTTGAAAACTTACCTATTTTGAAACCAAATTTTAATTTGTCTCTCTGTCAAGCACAAAGAATGAGCTATTTCTATGCGCCTTCTTCGATTCAGGTATTTATTCGAATGGAATTCCTTTTCCAGCTCTAGTGTTTGGTATCTGGTGTATGTTTGTCTTGTACGTTTATTACCCGATCCACTACATTCAACTAAAAATTATGAATTTTTATAAAAATGGTAATTATCAATTATTTCATACCCATACTAAGAGGCATCCGAATTCAAGTTTTCAAAAAAACAACTTATCCCTGCTTAAGAATTTATTTTAAAATTGCCTAAATCAATTATGTTCAAAATGAATCAAATTGATAAAGAATAACAGGATGGAATCCTAAAAAAGTATCTTTTACCTATCAAAACCCCAGCTGAACTAAAGAGAGAGTGTGTGTAGTGCACAACCCGGCTCAAACTGAGAAAGGGAATGAACTCACACGTTGACAGTTTGACATTTTAAGTTGCTCAACTTGATATGGGATACCCATGCAGGCCATTTTGGGGGAGGGCATTTTTTTGTTAGAAATGTATGTATTGTTACGTTATATACGGCCATGTGGGAACGATTTCGAATTTTTGTTAAAACAAATTTGATACCGTACCACTGTTGCTTTTCATCCAGGGAAAAATATTTTTCTGATTATCTGCAACGTTACTGTCAAATCCATAGTTGGTACTTTCCGATGGGCTTTTAGCAATCTCATCAGATTGGCTTGCGTCTTTGGTAGGTTTTCGTACAGTTGAGTAATCGTATGAAATTTTTTCATGGCTCGGCTTATTCAGTAAAGCTCTTAAAGCTGGAGAATCCTTTTTGTTGTCTGCTACTGGACTGTTGCACTAAAAATAATTAATATTAAGTGAGCACAAAAATCCCAACCATCCAATCATTTACCCCAAGATTCTTTATGGAAGATTCAACGGCTTCATTAAGCTCGCTTCTTTGGTGAGCCATACGATCAAAACCCATTTCATAAGGTCCGAGATGGTGATTAATGGACGGCGGTGGACTGAGTGAATTGTCCGCCGCGCTTTCGAGATTTGAATATGGTTGATTTTGGTAGCGGCACGTATTGTACGTTCGGTTCGTTGGTTCTTCCTTGATCGGCATCGGAAATGGAGAATTCTGAGTCTGTTGAAAAGGTGCGTATGGCGGGTATAAACCTAAAAGAAATGATTTGATATAAATAAACTATAGCAGAAATTAGAAGAGTTTATTGGAATGGCAACGACGTAAAAAATGAATGTCTAGCCTATGAAACAGAACTACAGAATAACCAAAACCAACCAAACATAGATTAGAAAAGAGTATCACAAAAAAACAAGTTTCATAACTTTTAAGGTTTTTCTTCAATTAACAAAAAAAATTTACCTTGTCCATTGACAGTCCCATCTCCACAAACTCCTGGCTGATGATTGTAACCACTAAAATAAGGATTCGGTCCGTATCTATCACTAGAAGGTTTGTGATAAGCACTATAATCATTCGTCGTACTACTAATACCACTCCAATAATCACAATATTGCGTTGACGCGCTCATTCTCTTTTTCAATTAAAACCAATCACTAATCCACTAGAGTCACTAAGAGAGTGTGAAAAAAAACTGTCGTGTGCCAATACGATCAAACTTACGAATAAACATTGTCAACCATAGCTTAGGGTATAGGGAGCAAGACCGGAGGGGTGGCGCGGTAACGTTTGACCCCCTAAGGTTTTGTCGCATTGCTCTTTTATTCAGCCACAGCTGCCCTCTGCGAATTTTACCCACCCCCGACCATTCATGGGTTGCTTTTTCATCTTATTTATTGGGGGTATAGAATTGTGAAAGTACAGGGTATTTTTCGGTTTACGATATTCAATATTTGGGCACAAAAACATGGGCGGAGGTTAAACTGATTTTGTGCAACAACTAATAAGCCTTTATTAATTTTTGAAAAATAACTGAACTTCTAGACTATTAAATGATTTTGCTTGGTAAGACAATCCAACTTCCCTAGGATCGCATTTTCCTAAACTGTTTTCTTCTTCAAACTTCCAATTCAGAATTAAACAACATTTTCACATTGACAAATCCGTTCCTACGCCAATGGGATTGACTTCTCTAAACCCCTCAAATCGTCTCTTTTCTCTCTCTACATCACGAAATTGTATATTTTTCTCGTTGATGTGTCACCAAAGTTACTTTGAGAAATTAAGACATTAAACAGTTATAAATTGTAGGCGAGACACCCAACCTGGCAATTAGATGTTTGTGTGGGTATTTATTTCTACTAATGATAATCTAAGATAATGATCGTCATTAAATAAGTTGAGTTGAATAATTATTAACACCTTTTTTGAGCTGGAGTTATATGATAATTTTTTGAAATTTAATTTGAGTTTTGTTTTCCAAGGAACTAAAACATTGTAGCAAAACACTCTAATCTACCATTAAAGTATTATAAATAAAATTGGACAAGCTTTAAATTCCTTTCAAAGGCACCCCAATAAAAGTTTAAGGACATCTAAGTAATGTTAAAAGTTAAATATCTCAAATATTTTTGAGTTTCATTAGGCATTAGACTATTTTTCAGGTAAATATATTTCTCAAGATTCGAACATGACTTCCTTTTTTTAAGCAGAGGGATCAGTTCCGCTTCTTAACTTTGACACGCCGCAAGTCAGGTAAACGAAACACCTCACGGACAAGACTGAGTATAAAAAAGAAAAGTGGGCCACCAGTGTGGACCTTCCTGGAACCTTTTGGACGGTCGATTGTCTGATTTTACGGTGCAAAAATAACAATACCGTTATAAAAAGTTAAACCTTCTAAAAATAGAGTTTTTTTCCTAATGACGAAAATTTACGAATACTCACTCCCCTTGGTATATATTGGTATATATGCTGCTGTAACCATTAGACTAATAACGAAATAAATGATCTGTGGAGTGGTAATGGAATTGCATGAAATTTCAAAAGGCCATTATAATGCACCCATGTATTAAACGCAAATATGATTTTATTCATGCATGTGAATTTTGTATTATAAAAACTCCCTATTTTTCATCTAAAAAAGATTTACATTAAGTAGAAGAATACATATTTCAATATAGCCTGATTTGTATGAAGAAGTTATATCTATTCAGCTTACAAAAGTTTAGGTATACCTAAACTGAGATTACCTAAGTTGAGTTTTGAGGATGAGGCTGGCTGAGATTCTTCAATCATCATCAAATGTATATAATTTTTATCAATGATATCCATTGTTGAAAACTAGATTATTTGAAGATCTCAATCATGGATTTTTGTCCTGTCAAGCCCCCTTTTTGGAATCGTATATCGATATTAGAATGGTAACCGGGGGTGGAATTCTATTGGTCACCGTAACTTATTTATTATGAAAAACCGAGAGGCACGCGTATGCATTACGTATAAAACATATACGATAGTTCGGATTTCCTATTATGGCAGATCCGTGTGGCCGAAGGTCTATTGAAAAATATCTCACTACGAGAGGGGAAGTCGAATTAGATAGAATAATAGAAAATGCAGAACCGTATCAGAGAAAAAAATATAAATCAGCTCCTGTAACGACTATTTGAACGTCTAATCATGTGATAATATGCGAATTAAGGAGATTCTTTCACTTGTAAATAAGTATGGATTTGGTCCATTCTTGACATAAAACTGTGGATACACCAGTTGTCCAAAACTATTGAAAAAAAAGATATGTTATACAAAAAAACATTCCCAACTGCACTGACTTTTTGATTTTTTTCTAAATCGATTATTATACCTGAAAAACATGTTCAAAGTCAGTCAAAAATCTTCTAAGTTCAAAAAATCATAACTGGGTTATGTTTGAGAATTTTGAAAAAATGAAAAGCTCTCTAATATTTTGTCTCTATGCTGTTAAAAATCTAAATAATTTCGTAAACTAGAAAAGCCCTAGATATAAGTGTTTTGATGCAAGTCCTACTAAAATCTAAGCCCGAAAATTCTATCCTCTACATGCTTTCTTTGTCCTCTGATAGGTGCACGAAGGCAAAGAAGAGTACACTAGATTAGGTTTTATTATAAGCAATAAATGATTTGTGGAAATAATTTTAGTATTAAGGTAGCTACCTTATGATTTGGATTTTGAGAAACGTTGAAGACCCATAACTTTTTTTCTATTATAGGCAGAAAGCTCCCAGTAGAGGACTACAATCCCTGAAAAATTCAGCTCATTTGGACTTCAAATAATACAAAACGCAGATTCCAACCAGGGACGATTGGAGAAGTGGCCCTACAATAGGGGCGGAAACAAGTTGCTACACTGATGAATGATGATGAATTTTGATCATAACCAGTTCTTGATTTGTAGAAAGAAAAAAAAAACACGCTTGATGACCTCGCATAGAACCCGCAAATCATCCTCAAAACTGGCTGTACAGATGAAACATAAAACAGTTTGTGATGACCTCAATTTAAAAAAATGCCAGACGGTTTCCAATGGTCCAAAAGCTAGAGGACAACAAATTTCCATGTATTTCATTACTTATTCCATTATTTGCTGGACTGTCTGCTTTGGGAGCCTATAAAAAAATGTCAAAATGCAATAATAAAACCGTTACATATAATGTTCAACCTTTGTTTGAAAGAGGGGATCTATCCAACTCAATGGAAACTAGCTCAAATTACGCCAATTCACAAAGGAGGCAATAGAAATGATGTGAGTAATTATCGTCCTATCTCAATTTTGTCAACTTTTGGAAAAATTTTTGAAGGTATTCTGGCTAAAGAATTATTCTTTAGAGTTAAAAATTATATTCCTGAAAACCAGCATGGTTTTTACGAGGGTAGGTCTACGTCTACAAATCTCATTACTTATGTCCAAGACATTTGCACAAGTATGTCAGGAGGGGCTCAGGTGGACTCATTGTATACGGACTTTACTAAAGCGTTCGATAAAATCTCGCACAATATCCTTATTAATAAACTACAAAGTCTTGGTGTGCATGGGTCCTTGCTGGCCCTCACTGTTTCCTATTTAAAAGAAGATCGTTATCAGTTTGTCAGAATCAACAACGTTGACTCACACCCTTGTAAAATAACCTCAGGGATTCCTCAAGGTTCCCACCTTGGACCGCTCTTTTTTTCGCTCATGATCTGTGATGTGTTCAAATGTTTCAAGTTTTCTAAGTTTTCGGCGTTCGCTGATGACTTTAAAATATACAAAGCCATAACAAATATCTCGGATTGTCATCAGCTTCAGTCCGACTTAAAGAGATTTTCAAATTATTGTGAGGAAAACGAGCTAAAACTAAATCCTGATAAATGTTATCAAATTACTTTTTCTCGGCTGAAGCAAACTACCAAATTCACGTACAATATAAACAACGCAAATTTGAAAAGAACCTCTTTTGTTAAGGACCTTGGTGTCATTCTGGATTCAAAATTGACATTTGAAAAGCATATTGAAACCATAGTAAACAAATCCTATAGAAATCTAGGATTTATCATGCGAGCAACCAGTAAATTTAAATCCTCAAAATCTATTAATTTGCTATATAATGCACTGGTCAGATCTGTTTTGGAATACTCATGTATTGTCTGGAATCCAATGTATCACAAATACATAAATAGAATTGAAACAATCCAAAAAAAGTTTATAAATCATATAGTTTTTAGATTTTATCCAAATATAAAATATTCTACCTACGACCATAAACTTCGATATCTTCAAATATTAAAACTAAGCTCCAGGCGATGTATTTCGTATGTGTTGTTTTTGCATAAAATTTTTACGAACGTAATATCATGTCCCCAATTGTTAAATTTGATTAATTTACATACACCGCCTAGGTCACTGCGATGCTCAGATTTATTTTACTGTAACTTTTATAATACAAATTATGCTGTGAATTCCCCAATATCTCAAATGCAAAAAATGTACAACTCATATTTTAGCCACATTGATATTTATTACCTTAGGATAAGAACCGTAAAAACATTAGCAATCAATGTATTTTTGTGAAAATTGAAATAATCTCACAGGTATTCTATTTTTTCTTATTTATTTGGTTTTTCCTCTATCTATGAAATCACTTTTGTTTTGTTTCTTTTTTTTTTTTTTTTTAGTTAATAATAATGGGAACATTAGGTTTAGATTTAAGAGCAATGTATACTGCATATACCTCTATCTATTATAGATCCTACATTTTAGTGTACTCTGTAAGTTGTAATGTTTAAGTACATTATGTAGAGTGCAATAAACAAAATAAATAAATAAATAAATAAAATATTGGAGGAGCTGCTGGTATTGTTCAATGAAGCAACTCTTTTAAAATGTTGATTCCCGGTACTTGATTCCCGATTCGCTGAAAATAATTTCAAAAGCCGATAATGAATCAAATTTTGATTATTACCGGCTCTTGATTCGCCAGAAAACTTCGTCCACGTAGGTACTTGATTCGTTGGCAATAAAGATAACAACTATATCATCTGCTTAAGTAAACATTTTTCCAGGATTTTGAATATTAAAAATTGAGTTTATGTGAATATTAAATAAAATTGGTC